AATTCCTCCAATATTTCAATGCTTTCCGCATGGCCGTCTGGAATCTGCAATATACCGAGGTTATTTTTCTTCCGGTTTATCCGGAGCCACCTTTTCTAGCACTTGTCGCCATTTCTGCACCTCGCCCTAACGTTTTTCTCTGATCTTCGCCATAGGGGTATGTCGTCTGCATAGAGAATGGTTTTCATTTCCTTCCATTTCATCGGGTGACACTGATACGTCAATGTTGCAGCGCCCTTGTTTTAGGTTGTACTGGATAGGTCATGAGATCAATACACGGAATGTCAAAACTTTCCAGCCTTCGTTGACTGTTCCCTTTTTTCTACAACTCTTTCAACGTTTACAAATAAGAGTCCTCAGCTCAGTGGGAACGATTCTGCTCATGAGACGTTGCATGGGAGGTTCAAGCCCCTATATAGCGCAGGTTTTGTGGACAATGTGGGGGATCCTCACTACACTGACCATTACGATTGCCAATGACTCAATGGGAACACTCCACGCTGCCACCGCAAGGTTGCCGAATCAACATTACGTAAAGTTTAAGGGATTTTCAAACGAGAATGGCTCAAGTTTTGCGGATAAGGTGGCAAATGTTTCCGTGTTCTTTATTTCTCGTCGGTGGGGAAAAATTTAATTGCTAGTTCAGAGCTCACTATCGTACCAGGTGTTCTAAAACGCTTATTCCTCAGGGCGAATGCTTTCCATAGGTGGAGGGAAGCAAGGTTGTAGGGTCGGCGCTTCTTTCTATACTTCTGCATCATTTGCCTGGCGATAAAGAAGCCGTCCGCAATTTCTATGCGTGCCCGGCTTCGAGTTGACTAACCGCTAGAGTTTCATGAATTTGAACAGCTATCGCTACATTGGTGCGCCGATAATTTTGTTTAATTGATTTCCGAGAAACTCCTCCTAACAGATCAACAGCGCCGGGACGGTGCCACTTTTGCAACTCATTCGCGTGGATAAGGCGGTAGGAGCTTATGGTTGAGCCTTGCGTCAACACACACTTAAAGCAACAATCCCAGGACGAATTTGCGGGGTAAATACCGTTGATAATGTAGTTATAGGCGACAATTTGACCGATAGTGACGAAAAAACCAAAGAAAAACGCCGAACAGGGCTTTAAACAGGGACTCCCCTTCTGCCGCTTAGATGAGGGAAGACGCGTGTTGGACGAGTTGTCTGAACTTGCCCGCAGTAAATGCGCTCCAGTTGCATAACACTAACATAATTACATAACACTATACATAACATAACAACATCACAACAACAAAAAAACAATTCCAGTGCAACAGGCAGGATCACATTGATTGCTTTAAAGGACAGAGTTCAAATACTCCCTGTGGTCCCAAAACGAGCACGAAATCACGGCTGGCAAGTGGGCGTTCCCCAAGAAGAATTTCCAACACACCCATTTTTAAGGAGTTTCATGTCCTTTTTGGCGCTTCTTTTAGGGTCCCTGTGTTTTCTTTAGAACTACACTTCACATGTCTTCCAAAAAGGATGTGCATCCATGAGCTTGAGGTAAGCAAGCAAAGCCTGCCGGGACTGTTGGCTTTCAATTCCGCCACTGCTCTGCCACGCTTTCGTATCTTTCGTTCTCCGCAACCATCTCTTATCTCCGAGTCTGTATTCTTCCCCCGACACATAGCGTTCCTCAGAAAATCTGCCTCACAGACTTCGCTCACCGCTCTGAATGAGCCTCTTACACACTTACACTTTCCGTTACTAGGAATTAGTGACCTGGAAGAGTGATCCAAATAATCTTATCTTGTTATCAACCTCGGGCTTATTATTTACCTTAGTTTGGTCTCCCATACGAACGAGTGGACGATGTTCCATACGTCTCGATCCAGTGCGGTAGTGAACACGATCCCAGCAGAACTCACAGTAGTACTAAAAGAAACAAATTTCGTAACAAGAAAAAAGACAGCGTTTGATAAGACGTATCAAGAAGCCCGTCCCATTTGAATCCGATTTTCGATTGATAATCTCGAGAGGGATTATCATGCTTGTGCTTACTCGTGTGACATTAAGACTATCACAAACAGTATGGAAAACGCGGAGCAGTTTAATTATATCGCAATGTTGTGATAAGGCTTTCGCTTGATCACCTCTGTGCTTAGCGTACAATAAATACCTTCAATAACTTTGTCCCATTCTTTTTTTCCTGGGTAAAGATGGGTCCTGAAGTATCTTGCGGATCAGTATTTTGTAGAACAATTTTTGACGGATAGAGTGGGACCAACCAGCGCAGGAGATCGTATATTGAAACAAGCGTGCTAGTAAAAAGATGTTCCTCATTGACGGGGTTTTTACCACTGCACGTTGTTGAAACAAATCTGTTGAGGTCTTTTCGAACTTCAAATTGATTATTTTTTATAGGTCAGTGTCAATGTCATTTCAAGAGAAAAAATGGAAGTCAGGGGCTTAACAGTCCAGTTGGGTATTTTATTGTTGTATATACTTAAAACATGTATGAGTATACTATATGTATGATTACTCATAAGGATATGTATACGTATAGTTCTATAATACTGATAAGCTTATACTATACTTATGACGAATACTTAGTGCCTCAAGGAAGGAGCGTCACTTCTCCAAATATCTGTTATCTTTGATGAATCATTCTAACTCGCAAAAAAAGTAACCCTTTGTATTCCGTCTCAGGTCCAGGTGTAAATAGAACAAACACCACAGGTGTCAAGAGCCTCCGAGAGATTTGATGATTGTCCGCCTTCTAGAATATTAGTCGATTCGCAGCTGGTGTAAGTATGACTGCAGCTGCAACGTTTCTTACACTTTTCACTGCAAGCTGAATCCATATCGTTACACCAATCTATATAGCTGAAGCCTTATGTGCTTTTCTTATCACACGCATACATTCCGTTGCACTTTGATATGTCAACATATAGAAAACCAACAAAGACGCATCTCCAGTTTGCCACTGTTCAGCAGCATCGTCGTTCGACATCACATCCCTACTGTTGTCGCTCGCCGCCAGCCAGTCCCTATTTCCAGCAACATCATTTCGCCGCCGACTATATTTATTCACCATCACCATAAGGTCCTGGTCGTGATCGGATCCTCATGCCCAAGTTCGTCGAACACCATTCATCAACGTAATTCCTGTTATCGGTGAAATCGTCCGTGAGGTATATCGCACTATTCCTACTGCCTGCATATCGTCGTTCTACCCAGAAAGCCGCAGCTACTACGTTGTTAGGATGTCCACCTTGATCATCTATGATGATCGCCATTGACACCGAAGTGAATGCCGCTTTCAAAGCGACTATCAACGCTCTTGAGCAACGTTAGTGCTGCTCTGTCACACCACTCGCTTACACCATTGGCTCACCACTATGTGCGAAGAAGCAAGAGAGATCACCGGAGTAATTTGAAATGGACGGGAAAACTAATGCAGTTGAACGGTTGAGGAAACCATAGGAAACGCGCAGCCACAGAGACTTGACAAAGCAGTAGCGAGAATCAAAGAATACGGAGAAGATTCATACATTACAAATGTAGATAAAATCGGAGTAATCCTTTACAAATTGAGAATTACCTCTATAGCATTAACCGTTTTGAAGAGCCTGATCGCGTGTACAGTGGTTTCGTACCGACGAAATGAAAAATTACTTAACTAAGCGATAATCAGGCGGACGCGTAGAGACTAGTTTCCAACCAGTGGTCGTGAACTTGCGGGTGGATTGGAACGAAATTTCAACGATTCTAGATGGAGGGCTATGCTCCGGTGAAAAAAGGGATGATTTGGAGAAATTCTACAAGCTATTTGAAAACGTTTAAGTTGTGATAACGCATAACTACGAGGAAGGTCTTCTTTCGTAGATGACTATTCTGTCGAAGGACAAAGATCACTTGGAGCAGTTCACACATCAGCAGACCATATCACGAGAATAGGAGTGAGAATTCTTGACCTGCCTGGCATGAATTCAAAACGCTGACGAAGCATTTCGAGCAGCGTGGCTATATTTTTGTGAAATACATGATTTTCAAACATATGTTAGAGGGACATGAATTCCCCTTTTTTGGTTGAGCATTAGCTCCTCGGTGAATTCTATGCGACCCGCTTCGCGCGATGATAGCGTTTACAACCATGATTGTGTTCACAAATGTATGTTTAATCAGCATGAATTCAGAAGTAAAGGGTCTAAGCACTCTAAAAGGTCTGGTGTTAGGAGCCAAAATCGCAAGGCAACATAACTTCGGCACTAGAGTTGCACCTATTGTTGGAAGAGACTCTGGATTTGCTAATTGATAGTGTTGATTCACATGGTAAGACCGCTTGAAGTTTGATTGACTTGTACGTTATATACACAAACTTGGGGGCGACAGTTCATTGTGGGCTTTCCTTTTTTAGATGGGCAGATTACTATTACTTTTTCTCATGCTTGTGAAGAATTGTTACTAATATTTGCGTGAGAGGTCCTGAGAGGATGGACACAAGTACGTTCACATTCGAGCTTCGAATCTCACAGTAACAGGCAATCGTGGGATGCAACGTCAGTGGAAGGCTACATTCCAACTATTTCCGGCGCTCCTGTTTTGTAAACCATGCTGTTGGAATACCGTACCAGGATGCTGTTATCAAGAAATTGGAGAGAAACAGGAATTCAACCATAATTGATTACTCCTACTTTTGATATTTGTGAAAAACTAAATGTACCACTATTATATTCCGCAAAACCGGTCAACTACCTGCAAGCAATCGACATCTCCGCAAAAATAAGGAGCATAACGCGACGAGCACTGTTTGCCTTCGCAATGGTCGCACATCTGCTCATCCATGACGTATGGTTTGATTTCAACCTGAAAATCATTCTTCATCTTGCTAGCAGGAGCTTTTAAATCTTCCAACCGTCGCATGCAGTATTTTTGACTAGTGTCCTGAAGAGTTGAAGGAATCACTTCGTGTGTCACTTCCCCTTTTTTTGAATGGCTGAGATTTCGTGTCAGATTTTCCCATGTCCCTATAAGTACACGACGATAGTTCTGCCCTTTTAGCAGTGTTCCTAGTGTGCTGGGAGTGACAATAAACTAAAATAAAAGCAAAAAACGCAAACGAAGTATAAAAACGGGTATCCATATTCTGAAATCAACCCAAACAACAGTGTCCCAAAAACATTCCTTACGATATATTAGCTTGGCAAGAAAGCTTTGAAACACCCCACAGCCAAAATTTGAAATTATTTCTTTCATCTTTATTCTATTCTGAGACCCGTAACATATTGACCATCAGAGTCAGCAACACTACGCCAACCTTCGGGCAATTGGTTGACACCACATTTGTAGAAATTAGGAAGAATTTTTGTCAAAAAACCTTTGGTAGTCGGATTTGCGCTCCTTTACGTCGTCGAGCTTCCTGTTCTCCAGGTAATGAGCAGCGAGCGAGCAGGAAAGGTTGGAAGACGTGTATGGATAGGTTTGACGAATATGGCAGACGGGCAGCCGCGGTCCAGCCTGGCTTGAGAATCTTGTGGCTTGAGACCGAAGACCCGCGCCGTTGCGCGTTGTCGTGAAGCAGGATTGACTTGTCGCTGTATTCCGTGAAGCTTTTCTGCAATCGTTTCGAGCAGCTAGCAGTGGTAGCCCTTGTCATCGTCAATCCTGCAGACAGAACATCACCTATGGGAAACACCAAATTCCAAAGATTTGACAGCATCACTATTCCCCCACAGTTGTCAGGTCAAGGCAATGACACGGTGCCCATGACAACATTGTCATTGACAACATTGTCAAGACTTGTCTAATTCCTGCAGAGCCTGAAGAACGTGCGGTGGAAGCACTCAAGACGCATCTGCCATATAGTGTGACGATTGCCTTGAATCATCCTCGATTACAGCGCGGACGACGTCAGGATGGACAGTAGTCGTGCGTTGCGTCAGAGGGATCAAAGTCTCCGCTGCGTAGCGTTCAAGCCGTAATGAAACCGCCACGTGAGAGATCGTGCCCTATTCTATCACTGGACTGATTCTGAGCGCCTCTCGTGGGCAGATCTCTCCAGGCGAAGCTCGCACAGGATGAGCGCTCGGATGGTCTCGCGGGAAAAGTTGATTTTGTGCGATGCAAACGCCACTGTTGGAAATGCTGATTGGGACACCGCACGCAGCACAGCCGGCTCCTTTAATATATAACCCATGGTAGATTTCAGAGCATTCGAGAGAAACCGCACAAACTAAGTGTTTCAAAACTTTCTTTTCAACCTAATATAATGCGCTGTTTGTCTGTGTGCTTGTCAGCCTGTCACAAAATTCAGTACCTGGAGAACTACGTGCAGAGCCTGGAGTAAAATTGGGATGGGTTAGCCATGGGTCAAGACGTATAAAGCACATAACAGATGGACGAGACTCCGCCCACAGTGGGTGGGGATGCGCCGAGTCAGGCGGAAGAAAGAAGTAAAGAAGAAGAAAATGTTTAACAAGGTATAGAATAGCTCTAAGACAAGGAAAAATGGGTAAAGGTGTGCTCTGAATTGATAAGTTGAATTAGGGAGACATGCCCGAGGTGAGAGGAGCGTTGTCTCTTTGGGCGGCGCATAATTAAAAAATTCATGATTCGGTTACGAGAAAGCCTATGGAGCAGAAAAAATCGGTGTAGAAGAGCATTGTCTAAGGTGTTTTCAGCATATCCGAACTGAGCCAGCGTAGTGCGACTTAAGCCGTTTCGGACAGAGCGAGCACCCGAAGTAAGCGTGAATTATAATGTTCTGCTGTAGTCACGTACAATGCGCGACGCATTGACGCGCTGAAGCGTGTGCTCGCCTCCCACTTCTCGTTTTCTTTGCGCTCTCTCAACTAACGATAAGAGCAAACTCGCCAACTATACGAGCGCCGTTCATGTAGGAGGTGGAGGATGCCACGCAAGCGGTGAGGCGAGCGCTGTGCGATGCTACTGCGTTTTTGGGATCGCTGTCCTGGAGAGCAGGGTAGCCTCATACTTGGCGAGCAGTCCATAGGACTGTTACCCCTAGAAAACGCCACCATGCGACGCGCACTGTACGTTACTACGGCAGGAACAACGTAATTTACGCTTACTTCGGGTGCTCACTCTGTCTAATCTCGCGTAATGTTGCATCCAGAAGATAACAAAATTAGCAAATTGAACCACAGTCACTTCTTTTCTGGTTGGATTCCACAAGAAGCTTATAACCTTGAAGCTTAACAATGTTGAACAGACTACTCCCCAACAAAGAAAACTGAATTGCTTTATCGCTTACTCTTTTCTGTGAATCTCCGTGATGTACGTGCACGAAGCGCCCGTTGATTGCCGCAATGAATGCCTGAGTTGTGACGAATGTGACTCGTGCTGCACCTTTGGGATACTTGAGCTCTGGATCGATGTCGATTCCCACGTAGCACACTGGACCGTAGAGGCGCTCGAGACATTCGGCCAACTCACCTGTAGAATCTACCATCAATCTTCTCCAAAACTAATATTCTCTAAAAAAGTACAAGCTTTTCCAGAAATCGAGCGAGACAAATGAGTTCTCCAACAAACGCTAAGGCACTCGAATAGAACTGATCCCCTAATAAACTTAGAACACTTCCCCAGATACAAGTGGAGGTACAATTAGCTAATAATGACTAGGGACAGGGTGAATATCGATCGAGGAAATCCTCGACGGGGGGTCGTACTTATCAAGGTGGGTCATGGGGGGGTCGTACTTGGGGGTCAGTAACGTCAACGGCATCGTGGTGGCAGGTAGGAGGGAGAGGGTGTAGCGCAACAGAAAACAAGGATATGCGGAAAAACAATGACATAAAATATTCTTTGCAGGCTCAGTCGCTCCGTCTCTCTACTTTCGCAAGAGTGTTTGAACGTGATATCAGAGAATGAATGTGCATCCTTCGCAACGCAACAGGGGTCACACTACGCTCAACCGCCCCCTCATCTACCGCTCCTTCTCCCTTAATACCTTGTTGAAATAACACTGTTGTTAGGGACCTGTCGCAAAAACGACAACCGTGAAGGAAAGGCCCTGGGCAAATGAAGTTGTTCTTCAGGTTATAGGAGTTACGAAATGTGTTTGCTACAATGCAGCTTTTGTCAACTGGTCATGATCATATAACACCTTCCAATCGATTCTGCAACTTCGAGTGCATGGCCTATACCCAGACAAAATCGGATGGTGACGATTGCCCCTTTTGTTATTGCTTATGTTGGAAGAATGTATTCTAGACACATTTCGAGCGTTGCCAACGAATTACACTTGCAATGGTGAAGAAGGGAGCGGCTTTTTGAGCGGCCGAGAATCATCCTCGATAGATCCTCGACGCAAATATCTCCTCAACTAGAGAATGTAGAAGGAAGCTAAACATACTGTTAGAAAGCGCAAACCTTCCGCTTTTCAAAACTGTTTTCTTTTTTTGATCTTGCGAAATTAGAGAGATGGTTTCGAGCGGGGTCTAGGCAAATCTGACCCAGGGACAAGTCGCGCTGTAACTGAATGCTTCGCTGTACACTAATGGAACTCGCTTAAAGCATACATTATACGAAGTTCGTACGAGCAGCACTTCAAGCAGTAGCTAGAGCCCAAAGGAATCGAGATGTGGCCTTTTTGTGACTAAAGGTGCGCTCGTTGCAGCGCCCTGGGGCTGCCAATCCTTTCTGAGCTCCGCCTCCGCCTGTGCTCCGCCCCTCAGCAGATCGCTGTTCGATTATCATTCTGATAAGGTATGCCACTTCGAGCGCGTATCCAATTTTTTTCTCATGGAATGCTATATCAATCAAGGTATGATCTCTGGTGGTATGATGGCAGCTATGGTTTAACGAGTGCCGACGACCTCTTAGTTGGTTGCCAACTCGTCCATTATCGGAGGTCAACGGGCAGAGGAAGTGGTCCCATTTTGCGCGTTTTTGACGGATTTCTTTGCTTTTTTCGCTACTAGGGCATTATTCAGCATCTTCACTTCCACTATGAGCACAACAGAATCCTATCGCAATCTCTCGCTTTAACATTCAATACGCAGTTATAGCTGGTCGTATCAGACCCCGATGTGAGGGGAGGGTCGTACTGAGGTGACCTACGTCCTCGACACGATTTTTGCCCTGCTAGGGACTGCATTGAAAAACGATTGGATTTTACTGTGGTTCTGCGTTCAAGGCTACTTTACGGTTCAGCTGGTGAACATCACTAATGCGCAGATGGGCCGCAACCGTCGCATTCTCATGTTTCGACATTTTCACAACCATCCCGTTTGACTCGGTCGGACGCACAGTTCAAGCCACGGTCGGGATTAGGTGTCAATCCTAAATAGACTCTCCTAGAGAGAAAAAGGATGGGTTTTCAAGGCCAGAGCCAACACTGTCGCGACACTGTCGCGACTCAAAAGTGCGCGGCAAAAGCGCCAAGGCCTTGCCTTGTGTGCTGCCGTGCAACATACTTATCAAGCGCGGCACGCGTGGCGTCTGCGCCCTCTCGCGTACGACGTGCTCTCTCACATTTTCCTCTCCTCACAACGCTGTTTTTCTGCACCGTACGGCCAGTGTTTTCCAATGTAATTTGTATTGTAAATGAAAAATGTAAAAATTTGTATTGTAAATTGTAAAATGTAATTTTTTCTAATGCTTTTTGCTTTTTCTCCCCGCTCATGTTCCTCATCGCACTCCTTGCCTAATTTTCGAGCACAATCACCAATTCGATAGCGATCCGCCCTTTGAGCGGCAATGCATGTACTTAGGCGCTGATATTGCGCGTGGGTAATTGCCACACATTTTTTTGTTACAATGTAGTTTTCGGAAATGGGTCTATCACCCAATGAATCCATCCATAACACCCCTCCCTTCCCGACCTACATGTCTCTACTACCATAGTAATTTCACAGCCAATATTTTCGAGCTTGCACTGAGTCAAGCTTCCGGAGCGGAACCCGCAATGAAAAAGTCACTTTTGCGCTCTCCAGTGGATGTGTAAGAGGGGGTTCAAATTTTGTGGGGATTGAAATATATTTTTTGAAGCTGGGAGCTGAGGATCACGTTTGCAAATTTTTTGCGAAGCTTTCACTTGCCGAGAGTTGAAAAATCGCTGCCTTGAAGGGATTGATCGGTTTCGAAGCGGCGGTCTTATAAGATCAACCACGAGGGGAGCCGAGCCTTGAGAGGGAGGCCTTGACTCAAACTCAGAAGCAGTGCTGTAAACTAAACATCCGAGTCAACTTGTACCGTTTTTTTAACTCGCAATCGGGGCGATAGGGCAGACTGCCTGAAGATCTTGTCTACAATCGTGAATCAGAATTATCTTTGTTTTTGGACATTATCATCCACATATTTTTTCTCTGAAAACCATTCACTAACTTGCTCTGGTAGGACGGGGCACCCCGCCGATGAACACGGTTCTGCGAGGGTCCATGATCGTGCGTGGATTCGAAATGAAATCCATATCGGCCAATCGCCATGGTCTGACCTGCACCGGCTTATCTCGCATCGTTGGTGACGAAACAAACAGGTAGTATCTTCAAAGAAGCTTCATTTTTTTTGCAGATTTGTTTGATTTTTAGTTTTACCTAAATTGATCTCACCTGTCATCTTCTTTGTGGCATTCGCTCACAAGATATTGTACCGAACTTTCCTCCTCAAACACGAGAAAGACGTATCCGGTCATGGAACGAGCTGAAACTCATGAGTTTGGTCGGTTTGCTCCGATATATTTCCAAACAGAAAGTTTGCCTCACATCCTCTGCCAGACTCATCATCACGAGCACTGGTGCCATCCGGTCGCCGCGGCCAATCCACGAGCACATTCCCAAACACAGAAAAGGTCTGCCAGATTTCTTCTTCAAAACAGCTGTTATTCATTTGTAAGGCTCCTATGAGGTACTGTAGCTACCTTCGGTGACGTCGATTGGCAAACCACCAACGAATACTTTCCTTGCGAAAACTTCCACATCGTTACTGAATTGCGAGGGCGTCCTTGACGGTGTGCCAAGTATTTTACGGGCGGGAATCGGAGATTTCGTGTCTACAGCTGCTCCATGGGGTGCTAAAATGAGCACAAGACATTCAGGGCTGTTAAGGCGTATTTGACTTGCGGGATGAACAATGCGTACCATATGCCTTGCGTTAACCTCAGCGATTCCGCAGTTCCCACGAGGGGTTCGGAGTGCTTTGGGGGGGGGGGGGGGGGGAGGAGGTGTCCGCATTTTGATTTGTAATGTCAAAATATGAAGAAATGGGGTTCCATATTTTTGGAAGTATGGAAGGGGGCGACGGCTTATCAGAGGGGGTGTTATTTGATGGGTTTCGTTGATGATTTCCGGCCGGAACCTCATGAAAAATCGTAAGTTAAAAATATTGGGTTGATCCATAATTCCTGGCCGAATTTTTTCAGAATCAATTTTCTTCATGTCAAATTAGTGTCATTACGAAATAAGTTAGTATGTTGAAAGAGGCATCAGTACCTTAAACTAGGATGTTCCAGAAGGTCAAAGGGCAGTGGAATAAGTAAGTAGGGATCGAAATGGATCAACGACCAAAGCAGGCGATTATGCTTAACGATCATTTAAAGAAGAACCTTGCAAGGAGTGCAGTAGGCAAGACCAGCGCTGTGTTTGCCTCAGTCTTTGCTACTGATCGGGCACTGGGCTATTGGCTTGAAAGCATCGGCAAAGCGATACAAGCTCATCCTAAGCCCCAGTCACTTTCGATGAGGATCCATTGCGCTGTGAATCGGAGTTCAACCGGACGCTACCACCTGAGATTTGTAGCAGATACCTGGGCACAGCCGATGCACCACCGCAAGCTGTCTGAATGAAACGGGCTGTAGCAGAATGAAGTTTCGATGGGAACGGCATGCATCTCTGACCATGACCGAGAAGCAGACCTGACCATCTGCAGAAATTTCATTCTGCGCAGGCATAGCCTGGACTTTCCCTAGTCGGTCACCAGTGGAGATGAGTCATGAGTCCACTACGACAACAACACGCGGCACGCCTTATGGCTATCTCGCAGCCTGAACCCACCATCTCACCCAAAACCCGACCTCTTTCGTCAGAGAATATTACCCCCATTTGTAGGATTGGTCGGGTATCCCACTTTGAGAACCGCTTCATCTTATATAGACAACCACTGCGAAGATAACCATGGAATAACTCCCGAGGTTGGCCGCAGCAGTGCGAGAGAACCATTCGAAACGTCTCAAAATCTCCTTCCTCCGGATGAACGCCCGACCTTACATTGCGAAGATAACTCGCCACCTTCTGAGGGAAACTGGCTGGATCGCGATACCACATCTATCGTATAGCCCTAACATTACTTCATCGCACTATCCCCTTCTCGATGCCCTGAAGCAGTACCTTCGAGAGAAAGGGGTCACTGAATACAACCACCCAAAAAACGTTCTCACCAAACTCTTCATCCCATAGCTCCACTCGTTTTTGAGAGGAATGCTTCCATTCGCTGCCTAGCAAATGAATGCATATCAGCGATTGCGACGGTGGTTTTATTGTTGATCAGTTATTCTCCAGGAAAGAAAAAACTCAAACAATGAAAGTGTCGAAATTCGGGCCAGAAATTATGGTTCAGCCCAATAAATGAAAATTAAGGAAATCCCCATGTCTTTAGACATATTTACCCTACTCCTTATCCCTCGACCCCTCCCCCGAAGGCTGTTCAAAAAGAAAGACAATATTATAGAAATCGCCATTGGTGAGGGTGGAGGGTGGGGGAGGGGCATCGTATTGAGATAGCCCCCTCCTAAGACTTGTGGTCACAGTGGAGGTCGTATTGAATCCTCCCTAAAAAAGGGGTCGTAAAATTTTGAAACTGCGCAACGATCGGTGCACCCTGTATCAGGCCTTGTCAGCCACGCTCTCTTGACAGCCCCGCCTATGTCTGTCTGTGTTTCTGTCGTTCCACTCTCATCTGAGCGCCTTACGGCCCTTATCGTTGAATTTGGAATCTTCCACTGGAGATTGTCACGATCATGCGTTCGGAAGGACGACTTGTACTTCAGAAGTAATGGATGCCTTTGTTCAAAACAGTTCTAGTGAGAAGCTAAGCTCACCGCATGTATTTGGAGGCGATCCAGCACTGGATACACTTTCATTCGAACACAGACTGGCATTGGTAGAAAGGCAAGTTTGGGGAGCACACGATGTTACCGGCGCTGTAAAACCTCAAATCTGAAGACACACATGGATTCTGTCATCTAATGGGCTCTTACGTTTGAAGAAAACATTGCTGCCACCGGCAAGCAGCAAAGGCAGTGTGTCTTCAGCGCGGTTGTAGCGTGATGGAATGATTCCCGTCGAAGAATGGCTGTTGCAAGAATAGCCGAAGTTGTTCTGTGGAGTCGTCGCTTGTGGTCGTTGGAAACCAGCAAACAACTTTTCCGCTCCAAACATCGGATTGTAGGCCTGAAAACTCTACGGTTCTAATCTTGAGCCTAAAGTACTTGAAATGGGGCTTAATACCTGTGTTGGAACGGTCTCGTCGAGGATACTTGATCGGCTTAGCGCTCGATCAGGTCGTGCGGGTGGCTCCGACGGATACGATGGGATCTGCAGGGTGAGGGCGGCCAACTGAAACACTCACAACTGAAAAGCAGTGCTAAACTTGACGTCTGTTTTCCAACTGCAGACGCGTTATCGCGAACAGTGGAGGTACCTACCGCTCCACTTCAATCTACCCCCGAGCTGCAGCCGAACTGGAAGATCGTGGAGCGGTGATTGCACGAAAAAATCAAATTCTTAACTGCGCCCCTGTGTGTTAATAAGCCGTGCTCATACTAACACCTAGAAATGGCAGAAAGGATTAGATGCGTAATTTGTTGTCTTGTATTCATTACGTGTCATTCATACCCCAAGACAGGCTTCCATCGTCGAGCAACCAATATGAATCAAGCTTTTTCGCGGATTGTTCAATTCGCCTATTCGCCTTGAATGGTGAGTATGAACCTGGCCTTAAGATAGACGAATGGCTATCAATGATTTTATATTCATGGCGCTATCGCAAGGTGCAGGGACATCCTCCAGTGATAAGCTTAGGAGGGGCCGAAGCTTCGGGAGGGGGGAATGAAATCGTTTATGCACCCTGAAGTTCCCAGTGCTTACTCACATTACTAAAAAAAAGCAGATGTTTCATGCGATTTTAAATGCAATGCATATGTATTTTGCGATAGCGCCTCCCATCTTTTTTCTCTAAAAATGGAAAGTTGGGTCGACAGGGCCAATAATTATGGGAAATATGACTGCATTTGTCTTAAGATGCTGAGCTCAGAAGTGATTTTCCTGTCTCTGAACACAGTTATGAAAACTTTTCGCTTATTTGTCGTATACTATCTTTACCGAAATTTCCCCTAACTGTTTGCAAAGTCTTTATTAAGATATCTGTAATGGAGTGTTCATAGTTGGCGATGCTAAGTGCGATTAGGCGATAGGCGAGTAGTCGATTAGGCGTAGGCGAGTAGGCGATAAGGGAAGGATACGTATTGATTTGTTGCTCCGCCCATTGAGCGATCGCCTAATCGCCTACTCGCCTACTCGCCTACAACGCTCTATGGGCGGAGCAAACCAATCAATACGTATGTAGTCTTCCCGCCTAATCGCCTACTCGCCTAATCGCCTACTCGCCTAATCGCCTAATCGCCTACTCGCCTAATCGCCTAATCTATACGTATATTTTTCATATAGACTAATCGCCTAATCGCACGTACGATCGCCAACTATGAACACTCCGTAGGAGATTGATATCATTCTACCTGAGTTGCTGATGAGAGCAAAAGAGTAAACTCGGAGGGGGGCGGAAGTGGTGTAGTGGCAAGTGGCACGCTTACCACGCGAGCGGTCCGGGGATCAAATCCTGGGTCGTGAGTCGCCCGGGCCAACCAAGCCTTCCATCCCTCCGGGGTCGGTTAATTGGTGTCTGGGAGGATAAAAAACACTGACTTGTACATCGGCTGGCCCCCGCAAGTCATTGTATAGGCCACATCGCATTCAAAGACGCTATTGATTAACGGCAGGAATTTAGCCTTTATGCCTTTATCCTTTTATGTCATGTCTCATGTCGTTTGGGTAGGGAGGGGGGGACATTGAAGTGAGTGAGCCACTTACAGTACATGGGACTGTTTTTGAGAGGGAAAGGGATTCTGGGAGAGTATGTCAGCAATTTTTGTTCTCTCTGGCACTCCTCCCCTCTCTTGGGCTTGGTCCCGGTGTCACCTATAAGCGGTTTTTGAATGCTCTGTTTTGAATGTCCCCGAGGACATAAGCCGAGGACATGAGCGGCAGACTAATCTACGAGAAGCGGAATACTCGAGGCTACAGAAAACTGCTCACTCACCTTGAACTTTCTCAACCCCACCCCCTCGGTCAAAGCTCAACCCGTTTATGGCAAAAAATTGGCGACATTTTGACGCGTTTCATGTATGCTGCTGCTTCAAATGCTCCCGCATCTTGCGATAGAGTCTTTTGAGTTTATAAAAGTGCGTTTCATGAAAGCATAGCCTCAACTCTCAGTATCCACTTCGGAGGATAGGTATTGATTATACGCGGCTACGCGAGCGCTACTTACAAACGTGGCTACACTTGCACTTACATTTCCACACTTGTAAGAGTGTGGAAATGTCGCTGAACATCTAGAAGGTCATTAATATGCGTCCGATCTCGTTGATTTCTTCCCATCGCGTAACGACTTGATGGATCAGTAGTGAGGAGAATTAGGAGCGAAACGAACCTGTGAATGCAAATCACTCAAAGGAAGACCCATGCTAGCGGTGGCCATGTGCATTTCTGGACGATTGCCAGAAGCCTGAAAAGTTTCTTCAGCATTGAGGAAAAAGATAACGAGCGGTCGTTATACGACTTTTCTCGGCTACAAATAGAAGTGCCCGAAAAACTGCGGCCCTTTCACTTGGATGATAACTCTATTCCGAGATTTTGTAAATTTCAGCGGAAGGAAAGTGCCTAAAGCTCGAGTCACTAGATGGTAGCCTAAATTGAAGGTGAGAACCTAAACATTCTCCGTTAACGATATTCCTACCTAAAAATTAACGCCTGAAAAACGAGGTAAGAAGTCTTGAGATGAAAGTGCATAGAAATTCAATTTCTGAGGAAATGTTCGAACAGAAAACAAGTAGTAATGGAAGTAAAATGATGAACAACCGGTTTACAAGCAGAGACGGTTATCCGGCAGCAAGTTGATCGATGAACTGAGCAGAGAAACCGACTTTATCACCTTTATATAAGTCCGACAAACGCGGCCAGACGTGGGGGCGCCACGTATTTGTCGAGATTTGTTTTGCCATCCTGAGACAGCACTAACCGGAATATATGATTTTTTACGACATAATGGCCAGTACCCGGGCCTGTCACCCAGTAGAAGAAGTAGTCAAAGATCAACTTGAAAAGTTTCACTGGAATATTCCACGAAATATCGATTGAGCTGGCGTCATCCGAAACATGATGTTCCTTCGAGCCAAAACTTTTGCTTGAAGATGACTGATCAGAAATCATCGTCTGAGCGTATATATTCAAGCAACGAAAAACGGCCAACGAATCCCACTCATTGTGTGCAAAACATTGAGCAGTAACACTTAGTCTCTGATGCACTTTCAGCTATGGTTTCAGCTCTTCCAAGACTGAGGTAAAGGACCTGGGACGAAGGTCGTGGATTTTGACCTCTAGCTCTAGATGACGGAGAAATAAAGAAAGCCAACGAATTGAGTCCTCGACAAACCGCACAAAACTTGCATGGAGATTCAGTTGTGTCAACAGAAAAATTTAAAAGTTCCTACGTGCGACTGTTAAGGCCTTTCAGGATAGAAAATGGGTTCGGCCTATTCTGAGCGACGCGAGCAAGCAGTACTGGTTGCCAATACTGGAACTTCGCTCCATAACTTCAAGAGGAAAAAGGTTCTTGACTTCGTGTTGACCGCATTTTACAAAGAGATGTTTCCCAATAACAACGCGAGAAGACGACCGTGGTTGGCGGCTGATGGACAGCTGAGGGTGACTTCGAAACCAGACATCCACGGAAACAAAGTCATGTTTTTATGTGGTGTATCACCTGTATCACCTGTCGTCCCGTTGATCATCGAATTGCTCGAGCGGGCGCCAGCAACGTCTCCATTCGTCCCTGTCGCGTGCTAGAGTGGTCCAGTGGATCCCTTGCTCGAGGGACACGAAGTCCTTCATTCCTTTCGTTCAGAGCTTTCGTGAAGAAGTCTGACCATCGGGCCGGCGGTCGTCCAGGTGTTCGTTTGACGTCCCGAGGGATCCAGTCGGTAACCGCTCTGGTCCAACGGTCATCGCAAAATCGCATGACGTGTCCGGCCCACCTTATCTTCGATTCCTTGGCGAAAACGGCAGCGTCCCTGATCTTCGATCGTTGGCGTAGTTCGGAACTCCGGATTCCCCTCTGCACTTGCGTGTATAGGGTTACTCCTAGCATCGTCCTCTCGACAGCGCGTTGGATAACGCTGACCGCATGCTCGTCCTGCCTGCGCAGAGTCCAAGTCTCTGAGGCGTAGGTTAGGGCAGGAAGGACAGCGGAATCGAAGAGGTGGGCACGGAGCCGGATGTTCTTCGTCTTCTTCACTACTCCCTCGATGTTCTTGTACGCTCCCCATGCCGCTCGTTTCCTCCTGCTCAGCTCTGGAGCTAGATCGTTCATCATATTGATTTCCCGACCTAGGTACACGTAGCTGGAGCATTCGGTGATGTTCGTTCCGTTGAGCGTGAATGGGGCATCAGGAACCAATCCGTTTCTCATAAACATCGTCTTCGTTAGGTTCAGCTGCAGACCGACCTTACCACAGGCGCAGTCGAAATCAGCCAGCATTCGCTCCGCTTGCTCGATGTTCGGCGTTATAAGAACGATGTCGTCAGCAAAACGAAGGTGGTGTAGTTGCCGGCCGTCGACCTTCACTCCCATGTCTTCCCATTCCAGTTGACGCATGACGTTCTCGAGAGCGGCGCTGAAGAGTTTGGGCGAGATGGTGTCGCCCTGTCGAACCCCTCTCTTGACGTCGATGATGACCTCCTTGTAGAATGGTGAGATTCTGGTCGTAAAGTTGCTGTAGAGCTCACGAAGAATCTTGATGTACTGAGTAGGGACGCCCTGGTTGCCCAAGGCTTCGATGACCGCTTCTGTCTCCACAGAGTCGAAGGCCTTCTTCAAGTCGATGAACGTGAGACAAAGCGGCATCTTGTACTCTCGTGAAACTTCAATGAGTCTTGTAACCGTGTGATATGGTCGATCGTGCTGAACCCTCTTCGAAACCCTGCTTGCTCGCATGGCTGTCCTTCATCTAGTATTCTGCCGATCCTGTTAAGGATGACTCGAGTGAATAGCTTGTAGATTACAGACAGCAGGCAGATTGGGCGATAGTTGCCAATGTCGTCCAGGTCTCCCTTCTTGTACAGCAACACGGTCCTGCTGGTTTTCCACGGAGTGGGTACCTTGCATTCCGACAGGTAGCGCGTGAAGAGTCGAGCCAGAGTTTTGATGATGACTGGCGGCGCATTCTTCAGATGTTCCGGTTTGACCCTGTCGAGACCGGGTGCTGTACGATTCTTCACCGACTTGATGGCGTGTCGGACTTCGGAAGAGAGTACTGAGGGGACGACGTATCCATCCTGTTGCAGTTGATAAGTGGGCAGATGGACATGGCTATCGAAGAGATCCGAGTAGAAGTCGTGGATGACTTTCTCCATTGCCCTTCGGGATGCAGTAACTGTTCCATCCGGACGTCGGAGGCAGGTCATCTTGGTCTTGTAGCTGGCAAAGCTTCGGCGGGCATTGCGGATGCTCCTCCCAGCCTCTGCTGCTTCAGCTAATACTGCTGCTCTTCGCTCCTTGAGATCTTCCTTTATCGCCTCTCTGCATAGCTTCGCAAGCTCGGACGTGAGTTGGTGATTGCCTGCAGCTCGTGCGGCTCCACGCTGGCGTATCAGTTCGAGAGTTTCCGGAGACAGACGTCCCTTGGTGACTTTCAAACTCTCTGCCTTCCTGCCACAATCGTGAAGATGTTCAACGAGCCGATAGTACTCCTCGTCGATGTTTTCGATGACGGAATCCTCCCATAAGCTGACGAGGGAAGCGAAGTGGTCCCAGTTGATGACTGTCCTGGGGCTTCGCTTCCTGAACTTTGCTGCTCTCTCAACACGCATCGAGAAGTGGAAAGCGGAGGAGACGATGGTCCGATCCCGTGTAGAACTTTGGAACAACAGCGACGTCGGTCAGGCAAAACCTTCGATTGAAGATGATGTGGTCTATCTCGTTATGGAACTGTCCATCAGGTGACTCCCAAGTCCAACGAAGGTGAGAGGGCTTTTGGAACTGTGAGTTACCATGGATGGTGTTGGTCGACATGATAAACTCAGACAGTCTTTCGCCCTGCTCATTCCAATCCATTCCGTGAGTACCGATGTGAAGTTCTTCAGCCGTTCTTCTCGGGCCAATCTTGGCGTTGAAGTCGCCGACGATGACCTTGAAGAAGGTGTTTATGGCCAAGTGCGTGTTGACGAGGACACCCACACCGCCAACGCCTCTGCTGTCGCATGTTCCAAGGAACAGTTCTTCTCCAGTATCGAAAACGGCGTGTAGCGGGCGGTGCCTTCTCGTCTCGGTCAGTCCGATGACGTCGTACTTGATCTTCCTGGCCTGCATCATCAGATCTTCGATGTGAGCTTCGGATGCAAGCGTTCGTGCGTTGAAAGTACAGATCGCCATCTTAGTCCTTCTTCGTTTAGGCAGCCTATCCGGGCCCTGAGATTCTAGCAGCCTCTCCCGAGCGGTCCTACCCAACGCTGCCGTATTGGGGGCTCCCTCAGGTTCAGGGGAATGAGGCCCATCCATATTGCTGTTTTCGGCATATTGAAGGCACACGAGTAGCTTGCCAGGCTCTGTCGTGCGGGCTAGGATAGACCTCCAGGTAGTTAGCCTCGCTATCCAAGGGTATTCCTTTTACTATGCGGAGGGGGTGGGACAAAAAGACATCTTGATAACCGCTCTCATCAGAAAATTCTTGTTGCAAAGGATACCGCCCTTGACGGAAGTGCTACTCGGAAACATTCATAGAGTGTCCCTCTACAAGTAGAAAAAAAGCCCCTCCATTGCTACTCACACCGTCTTCAGATTGATGACTCGTCTGCCACCTGCCGTCGAGCTCTAGAAAGCCCATCTTAATCTGCATCACCTAGAGTAGCTACCACGTTCCTCTTCGAAGGCCCCCTATTGATCTCGGGCTGTGCAACCATGTTCGCCTTAGCAGGTTTTTTTTGTTGCAGTGAACATGAAGGGCCGATTTATCCCTCAATTGGAGACGGGAGCATTTCTTTTGAATTTAGCAAACAATCAACTGTGGAGACAAAATGTTTTTTATTGCTCCCGGCACGTATAATCTTCTTTGAATGAGAGCTGAAGATCAGCTGGATCGCCTGATGATGTTTATGCACTAGCAACAACAACATTTGATAGATAGCTCTACAGCGATTGCTTTTTGAAAGCTCAAAATGACTGGTCGAACAGGAACGAGTTGATGATGTGATACGCAACTGACGGCTTGTCTGTAGGAACCATGTGACCAGCGCCCTGAACAATGTTTAATGTACATATTAAGAAACACTTTTGGGCATTTTGAACAGATCCCACTCACCCTAACTGTAACGAAATGAAGACCATCGTAATGTGTGTGAAAACCGGCGATTTGTCCGTCAACAATATAGTGCTTCTTAGCGGCAATCTCCTTAATACTGCATGTTTTATTTTCAAAACATAAAACACTGATGCCGTTCATACTTTTGTGGGTACCCGACAGGAGGCCCGTCGCGCGGCAAGAAGGCAGAGTCAGCGGACGAGTCGCAGCGCGTGATGTGCGATGTAGGACGTACAATGGTACATTCTATTTAACTTGACGCGAATCACTACAGTACGCGCTGCGACTCGTCCGCTGACTCTGCCTTCTTGCCGCGCGACGGGCCTCCTGTCTGGTACCCCATATTTTGTATCCTCTTATTCTCGTTCCATGGGTATTCAGACTCTTGCCATTTACCAGATCGTGCAGTGCCTGCGACGCGGTCGGCGGCTTTGTTACCGCGCTAATTTCTCCGTACCACTCAAAAATGATGAATATCGTGTGCTCAGGATGCCATGCTTTATTTGTGCACAAGTTTGGCATTTTATTTATTTGTTATTTATTTGCTTGCGATTTTTTCAGGCAGACCATGTGAGTATAGTTATGTGGAGTTCTTTCTCAGTTCACTGTCACGTCCGACCCGGAAGCTGTTTACATAATCGTCGCTGTGAAGCGCTGTTCCCAAGGCGGCCGTCCCCACTTGGTCCAACATAGACTTCAAAGCCACAAGTAGAGATCAGGTGCCAAGAGGCACCCCTCCTGCAGTAAGAAGGAGGGGTACCCAAGCCCAAGAGCCGCGACACTGCCGTGTCGTGGAAGTGCGCGGCAAGGGCCCTAAAGCCTTGCCTTGTACTATGCCGATGGTGCCACACTATCAATCGCGCCATACGTGGCGTTTGCGGTCTTGTTCGGCGTCAACGAACTACCTGCCTTGCATTTTCCCTCCGCTCGCTGCGCTGAGTCTTTCCGTCATAGGCCGATGTTATAGTTTGCAAATCGAGAGTTGCGCCAGCGAATCGAACGTTGCACCAGCGAATCGAACTTTGCGCCAGCGACTCGAACTATGCACCAGCGACTCAACGCTGTTTGAAAGTGACGAGACCCAACGTTCAAAGGATCTCCCGCCACATTTAATGAACGTAGTCCTTTCAAAATGGATTTTCCGTTGTACGTTGGGTCCCGCCACTTTCAAACAATGTCGAGTCGCTGGTACATCGGTTCGATTCGCTGGCGCAAAGTTCGATTTGCAAAGTATGACATCATCCGTACCGCCAATCTCACAGGGGTATTCCAGTGTTTTCTATGGCGCTTTTGATTCTTCTTCCCAATATCTTCCTCATTACACTTTTTTTTTCTGATTTTAAACAAAGTAGCACATCAATTCGATTACAACCTGAGGGGTGGGGATAAGTCAAATGAACAGCAAATACTCTCTACTATTCTCTACTACTCCCTCCTATCCTACCTCCCAATGACATCCAAAATCCCTCAAAAAACCATTAAACCATTCACCCAACAAACTACTGATCCCACTCAACCCCTGAATGCGACCCCCCCCCCTCACCAAAACCAACCACAAATGCGACCCCCTCGTTCGAATAGTGCGAACGCACGGATGACCCTGCTTCCAATACGGGACTCAACCCATCGTCTCACGGCCCTTATCGTTAAGCTTGCGCTTGCTACGAGCAAACCAGAGGGGAATTGATCTCTACGGGCTTGAAACAGGTCTGGCTGATCCTTTGCGTAACTCACCTTCAAGCCGAGCTTGCGTGAAAACCGTTGTCCCATCAGGAAATTGCAGGCCATGTCGATATCGCCACTGTAGATCATTGCTGAAAAGAATACTTGTGTTACTAGGAAGAAGAACTTTATTTACCTGGGTTTCTAAACAACAGAATGTCATTCACTTGTTGCGAACCTTTAAGTCCTTGGGCCAGTGCGTTCTTCACTCGCGTGTCCATCTCGCCGTACTGCTTTTTGTATGTATTACTGATCTCGTCACTGAAAAAATCCGCCTTGATAGCATGACTCCCCGAGATGCATTCAGTACTGACCTGCAGATTGCCCACGGTCCAAGAGAGGTAGGAATTCCAAGTGCTCGTCGCACATCTGGACGATTCAGATATGTCGTCACAGCAGTCTCGTTCATGCATGGTACTGTGGACAACTAAAATCATCTTTATTATTCCCTTTTCTATATTTTTCGATATTTTTCTCGTGAACATGAAATGGTCCTACAACGAATACCTGCGAAGTATCCAATTCTTTCCCGGTTCGTTGTTTGTATTCAAGTCGGAATCGAGTGGATACTGTGGTACCAGGTTGATTGACACAACTGTCGTACATGTTATAAGGGTTTATTCCGCCATTCCTGAACACCTCAGCTCTATTGCTTTCCAGCTTCTCTCGGTAACCTGAGTACGCTCCCAAATGATTCGACCTACCAAGCAGCCAACGATGAGGTCTCAACGAATAATGAGCATGTGTCGAGCCCGTTGAAGGAATGGAATGGACAGCCGTCGGTGTCGTTTTGGCAGCACTGCGATTTTATTCTTTGCCACTTGCTGAAAAACATACATGGCTTGTTTGACAAATTTTGGTCCGAGCCGTAGGCTGTTCTCTACTCACGATCGATCGTTAGGTTTGAGATAAAGACGAGAAAGCTCCCTGCGTTGATCAATCTCTCTTAGGATGCGCCACATATTCAACTTTCAGTTAGAGTGGCAGTGGCATTTTGATGCGATTTTGCCTGCAGTGTATTGCTTGGGCCAGGCGTTGAAGAAGACAGTGATTTTGTGGTAACAGACGAAGGGGGTGCTGTTTAAGCGACCCCAAGAATGAAAGCCCTGGCGGAATACCGTCCAGAATATGATCTTCAGGTCGTACTTGTCATATTCGCCACCCCCTCCCGCTGGACGTAAGCAAACCAGCCCTTTTGGCACATCGGCTG